GTGTCTGTTTGAATGATTCATCACCATCACGATTTTCCTTCCTTGAATCGTAACCGGAGCTCTGATACCAGATATTGGAAATTAAACCACAACCTATAGAGAATTTCACTCAATCAATCTTGATCTCAAGACTGTTTCAACTCACGTAATGACAATGAAAGAAAAGTTTAGAAAGAAAGAAAGAAAGTAAACGTTGGAGAAGAAGAAGATGAACAATTTTATGCAGAGAACTCTTTGTCCACAAACTGTGGAAATTATGTTATTTCACTTGCAACTGCAAACTGTGAATTACAAAATTGATGAGATGGGATGCGATGAGATATTTAGAAAATAAGGGTTTCTCTCTATTTATAGATTTAAGTTAGCTTGCATCCCAAGGCAAAGCTCAAACTATAAAAGTAAAAAAATATCTAATCTAATCTTTCTAAATCAAATCTGATATTTCTAAATTAAATTTAATCTTTCTAAAATAATGAATTACATGTTTAACAAATAGAAGTAGGAGAATCTAATGAAAAGACATAATTGTCTTTAACATCGCATCTTTTCCAAAGTTAATATTCTCTTGTTTTAGGATAAAACAAACAATTTTCAACCCCCCTTTCCGCTTTGTGTTACATAAACTCGCACTCGTTTTCTTTGTTAAAATTCAATTTTCGTGGAGACGAATATTTTATTATTACTTCAATACATACTAATGCACTTGCTAGATTTGTTATCATACTCAAACAAAACACATTGAATTAAACATTCCATTTTTTCTTCGTGAAAGGACGGTGTCCAATAAGCTCATAATTTAGCATGTTTCCACATTTACACAAATTACAAATACTTTGACCAATCATTTACCAACAACTCCCTTTCAAGAATTAATGAGGAAATTCAAAGTTTTTTTTCTTAATCTTATAGAGAGTATTAGTGTTGAACATTTTCTATATATCAAATTATAAAAATAAATTTTTAATCTTCAAAATCAATTTGTTAGATTAGAGAGACAAATTAGTTAATCCAATAAAAATTTATTAGAAACTCTAATTGCAATTCTATAAATAGATCCTTTGTAATTTATTTACATTTGAAAATTTATTGTCCAATTTCAGAATATTTAGTTTTCATTTTCTATATATATTTTTATTAAATAAAATTTAATTTAAATATCTTATCATAAAAAATATTTAAGTGTTTCATCCTTTGACTACAATTTTTTAATTATAAAATAAAAAAATTAAAATGAGAAACAATTTTAATTAGCTTTTCATTAAAATTACTTTTAAGAAATAATTTATAAATAAAAATTTTTTTACTATGTTAATTTTTTTTAACAATGAGTCATTCCATAAGATGTTTATGCAACATTAATTTCCACCAATTATATATGTGAAAAATCAAAATCTTATTAATATTGGTCATAATTAGCAACTATAATTTTTTAATAAAACAATGAGGTGATGTGAATGGCACTAAAAAACTTGTATCCAAGGAAGGACCAAAGCAAGCTATGATGAATATATTTGAATTTGTTTCATAAGTGCAGACAGAACATATCATGCTTCGTAGGACTCACTATTGTACATGTTTATCCTTCAAATTTCAAACCCTAGGTAGAAAAATAAAACCTTATGTGATCTTGTTTTTTGGCTCTAGATATTCCTCAAACACAATCATTGATGCATGAATCATACATCCCCAAACACGTACCAAACATCCCCATTTAACAAAATCATATATTCTTGATTCTTAATTTTTGGTAAAACATTAATCTTTTTAAGATTCTCTTCACTATTTTGTATAGTAGGTACAATTCATCAAGCACTTACTTAGTACTTACCCTACGATTCAAAATATTATGAATATATAAAAAAAAGCAATCGCAATCAAAGTATCAAAAATATTTGTGAGAATCCAATTGTGTTATGACCTTTTGTTTGTTTACTTTTGGAAAAGAATAGTAAAGCTGGTAATTTTGCAGCCAAATAAATCCACTTGTCTCTCCGTTTTTAGATATTATTGACTTTATATACGGACATACATACAACAACAACTATTTTTTTTGGGGGGATACAACAACACATTTCTACACTTGATGTTGTGAGGAAGAAATATTCTGAACAATTATTGTATGAAGCTTTAATTTTTTTTACGAGAGAAGCAACAAGAAATCCACTTGTCTCTATTTAACTTGATTTTTGTGGTTGTTAAAAAGTATGCACTTTTCTACGTGTGGGACCATGGCGAGACGCGAAAACCCGTTTTCAATTGGAGGCGGGGGGAGCGGTTAATTGTTACCTCTGACTAGATTCAAAGAAGGGGGCAAGGCTGGTATAGGATGGCGGGGCAGGGCTAGTAATGTTTAAACCCACCCTTGGCGAGGCTGGTATAAGATGGCGGGGAGGGGTTAGTAATGCTTAAACCCACCCTTGCCTTTTTCCGTTGGCATGCATATTTGTTGAAAAAAAGTAAGTGTGAATTAAGAAATGTTGAGAAATAAAGTGTAGAAAAGTCGCACTTTGATTTAAAAGGTGGAGAGTTGGGCTTTTATAAGTGAAAGAATACATATATTTATTAGCTTAAGATTTTGGGTGAGTATGTGATGTGTCACTCACAAGGTGTGTTCTCATAAAAAAAAGAGGCCATGATGAATGTAAAAATGCTCCCTCGTGTTTATCGTATAAGAATTGATGATCTAATTGTGGTATCATGAGCTTTTGGTTCAAGTGAAGGACCGAATCGCTTGTATCGAAAGTCCTCCTCACATTATAATGGGTAAAAGGTGTCCCATTGAAAAGTCTCAACGGCAGTACAAGTGTATGTGAATGAAAGAGCTTCTGCCTGAGGAGGAGCATTGTGGATAGACTCACACTTAAAAGGAAGTGTTGAGAAAAAACAAGTGTGAGTTAAGTGTTTAGAAACAAAGTGCGGAGAAGTCTCACAATTATTAGAAAAATGGATACTTGAGCATTTATAAGTGAGATTTCACACAACTATTATCTTAAGATTTTGGGTGAGTTGTGATGTGTCTCTCACAATGTGTGTTGCTCATAAATAAAAGAAATATCACAATGAAAATTACTTCTTCGTGATGATCCCAAAAAATTGATGACCTAACACTATTTGAGATTCTAACCTTACCAAAATCCTCATATGATCTTTTATGGATGGCCATACTAGATTGACATCCAAAGCTTAAAGATACTACAACAGTAGTTGTGACTCACATTGTCCATCGAATATGACTAGCAATAAATTAGATGAGGTTCAATAATTCAAAAACTTGTGTGCGATTCGTAGGAGAAAACATTTTGGCTTCAACTAAGATTAGGTCTTTGCCCTCAAAAGGTTGAATTGCAAATTGTCAAATAGAGCACAACATTCTGGATAACCTACACATTGAGAAAAGGTACGAAAACTCTCCTAAAATTATTGCAGTTTTTTTGTTGAAGAAAACCACATATTTTGTGGGAAATGATAAACACAAACGAATTAGTAAGAGATAACTTAGCATCAGAGGGTGCAATCGCAAAAAACCGCCAAAGGGCTTTTCTAGAAGCTTTCTCTGCTAACCTTGGTGAAGTGAATGTTTTACGAGCGTAACTTCTTTCTATTATGATAGCATTAGAAAATGCAAAAGGTTGGTCATACGTTTGGATAGAGAGTGATTCTCATATTGCTCTCCAATGTATCATGAAGGATAACTTGATACTTCGAGATCTCCACAACAGATGGTTTAATTGCAAGAATACTCAAATAAATAGGATTTACGTAAATCCTATTTATTTGAGTATTCTTCCAATGTACACTGTCAGTTTTTTCAAGAAAGAAACAAGTGTGATAATAAGCTTGTTAATCATGGTCAAGCAATTTTGAATTTTTCACTGGTGGGATTCACTACCTCATTTCGTTAGGGAGAAGTTCTTTAAAGATAAGTTTGCTTTATTGAATTTCAGAATTTCTTGACCTATGACTTTGAGGAACGATTGTCAGATGTACATGTACATCTTGGTTGTCAGTTTTAACTATAGAACGAGAATAATATTCCATCCAAACCAAGTTTAATCTCAATCCCCACATATCATCATGAGAGTAATGTATCATTCAAGCCATGTCCAATCTTTAGTCATTTTTACAATATTCCGATTAATTATTGTTTTATAATTAAATGAAAATCAACCGCATATCTCGTAAATATTGTGAATCATCTCAATTTCTTCAAAAGTACTTACGTCGGAGTGAAAGCTATTGAAAAATAGATTTTATTTAAAAAAGACTATTCATTCTAGAGGTAACATTCAAAATCTAAATGTGCGTCTATATCCATATATCCATTCTGTCAATCGAATTTCGAAAATGTCAAACATCTTTTCTTTCAATCTCAATTCTCTTCCTCAATTTAATTACTAGTAAATCAACAACTAGGGATTAAAGGTGTTAATTGTGGATATAGTGAATCATTTTACACAACTTGAGACATACTCTTTCATTAAATACAAAAATTATAATATTATAATTTCTCATCATTAATTTCTTATCTCTAATTTGCAACAAAAAAAAACCACATGTCTCTCCCTTTATAGATATGATTGATTTTCACACAAGGACATGCCAACAACACTACATTTACGTACACATGATATTGTAATTTTTATTTTGAAATTACAATCCAATAGACACACAAAAAACACTTGACATCATTACTCCTTTTCCTTATTTTGAATTATTCATTTTTTTATCATCTTTTATGTTGTGTGGTGATTAAAAAATTGTACAATTCAAGTGGTGCAAAAAGGACTCTTCTCTTTTCCTACCTCATGTTCCAACACTTTTTGGGACTATAAATTCATCCTCCCCCATCACTTCTTCAACACACCATTCTCATTCCATCTTTCATTTCTCTCCCTTTCTTCATACTTAAGCCTCTTTTTCCTCCCAATCCTTAAAAAAAACATAACACTATTTTAGTATTTTTCACCATCCTAGTTAAGATTAAGACACAAACATTAACCATGGCTGCAACTGTCTGTCACCCTGGATTACAGTTACATCTTGAACCTCAACTTGTTGAGTCAAGAACATTAAGATTAAGGTTACCTTCTCCAAAACAATCCATTGATTTAGCCTTCAAATCTTGTTTCCATGATGAAGAAAACATCAACATCAACATCAACAAAACAGAAACTTTTCAAAGCAAGCCTAACAATGGTGGTTGGAACTTCGTTGATGCTCTTTCGAATATCTCACAAAACACATCCATGAAAGAAACTACAACCACACCCGCTTATGTTCATCCTCAACAGAAACGTTCCTCTTTGGTTTTGAGTCCGAAGAGTCTCGAATTGTGCACGGAGAATCTTGGCAATGAGAGTGGTACTGACATTGTGGAAAACGATATGTTGTTGTCTTTGATGGGAAAAACTGAGGAAAGAGAACCTTGTCGTCAAGTTCTAGGTGGTTCTAAGAAAGCCAAGACTCAGAATTTTCCACCACCTTTGACGACGATAAGAGGATCGGAATCTCTTCGTGTTAGACCTCACCGCGAAGATGGAAGATTAGTGATTGAATTCACTAAGGTCCCACCGAGAACCTCTTGTTTTGAAGCTGAGAGAAGCCATGGCCGTCTTCGCCTTTGTTTTTCGACAAATCAAGAAGAAGAAGATGATGATGTTGTTGATGATGTCATAGATGAAAATGAAGAAGCACTCAATGAAGAAGAATTTTCTGAAAATGGAGTGATTGGAGGAGAAATAAAAGATGACGAAGAAGAAGAAACAGAGGAGGAAGTGATGGAAAGTGGAAGTGGTGTTGCATGTGAAGAGACTAAAGATAAAGAAAGTGATGTAAGAATGAAAAAGTTAGAGAGGTTTGGAAAATGCAAAGAAGGTGGTGAGAGTGAAAACAATGACACCATTTGGATGGCTGCTACTACATAAAATTTTTATTATGATATTTTAGCATCTATTTAACGATGTATTAATTATTAAATAAATAAAAACAATTTATGTATATTTGTGTTTTTTGTGAATGAGTTTCCAATGTTTTGATCTCATAAACTATGGTTCTGGTGTGGTCTGTAGTTATTATGGTTACTCTGTTTCAAAGAGAACACACGCCAGTGATGCTGATGCAAACTTCAGCACAGTGAAACTCACACAAAATGTTAATAACACAATCTAACAACAAAACTCACACATGTTAAGCATACAAAATGTTAAAGGGTTAAAAAACATCATTTTTTTAATCAGAAATGTTATTCTTACACCATTTCCTACACCCTACACCCAATTTACTGTTCACAAATACGTGAACAAATTTCTCAGAACATGGTTAATAGTATGTATTTTATTGGTTAATGAAGTAGTGAAAGTGGTTAATAAATTATAGGTAAAATAATTGGCTAATGATGTAGATTTTTGTGGTTAATGTAACTGTGAAATTGGTTAATACGCAATCTTATATTTGTGTTATAAAATAAATTTTAAAAATAAATATTTTTTTTAAAAAAAAATTAATATTTTAAAAATATATATTATTTTAATAAAAAAACACTGTTCACCGTATAAATACGGTGAACAGTGCATACGGTGTAGGATGTGGGTGTAGGAAATGGTGTACACATAGCAAAGCTGTTTTTTAATACGCGTATCTTGGTATATCCAAAATCTGAATTATAAAATTTGAGTGTAAAATAGTTTTAAATGAAAAATCAACAAATGGTCTAATCATTAAAGTATTTTTTAAAATTTAAGTGTGATTTGATAGAATATATTTAATTGATGGATTGATAGTGTAACAATAAGAGGATGTGAGCTTGGATAGATGTCCAAATCAAAGAGGTTTTACAAGTCAAAGGTAAAATACTTTATTTGTAGTCTCTCAAATAAGGATAGTAATGAGAGTGCATGTGCACTATTGGTGTCCAGTTTGGAGGCTAAATAAAGTTGAGTCATGGATTCAGGTAGCTTTTATCAATGTGTCCAATATAAAATGTTGAGACTTTGAAGGTGGAGTGATTCTCCTTGGTAACAATAAGGCTTGCAAGGTTTATGGTATTTATACGGTCAGACTTAAAATGTTCAATGATCATGAATTTTTTTCTTCACAACGTAAGGTATTTTATGGAGATCACACAAAATTTGTTATCTAAGATATTGCTCTAAAGTTGAACATTGGGCAATGAAGATTGCACATGGTGAAGTGATCATATCTAAATGATTTAAGACACGTGGCTTATATATTTTAGAAGATTTCAATGTCGTTGTTCATTCATTATCAGCTAGTAAAGACTTTTATGATAACAACAAGCTTTGAGATTTGAGGTCAAGGCAGGATGAATTCTTAGAGACTGTTTCAGATCAATTTAATGAGTCTTGCATAAGATAGTGGATAAAAGTGTATGTGACTATTGAGTTATTGTTGAGTTTTTAGGGTAAGGCAAGTGCCAAATTAGCTTACTTGGTCGGCATGTGTTCGTTTACATGAATAAACTTTCAAACACCTTTTGTAGTTAGTAGTAGGAAACCTAAAACCTACTCTTATTCGAAGGTCACTAGAGTTTTTCCTATGACGCGAATCAAGCTATATCACCTTGATGGCAAAGTTATATATCATATCATCAATGGTTATTCATGGGCTGGGAAGGGTTATGAGCTATTGGTAATGGAACTCAGAGGATTGAAAATTATCAATCACACATGTATTACTTTAAGTGAGTCCTATCAAGGGAAGAAGAGTAAAGATCTAAGAATAAAGCTTTTAGAAATTATGACCATGAAGACTCATTCTAAGGTAGAGTTTCCTACTATGGATACTAATATTAGTGAAGGAATGATTATAAAGACCTATGATTATTATTTGACTTGTGATAAGATAAGGAAGGAGGTTATACAATCTCAAAGTGACGATTATATTGACCTTGGATGCATATTTGAATGTAGCTGGAGGGTTGAAAAAATCATAAACAGGGACCTTCAATGAGGCATTCAAAATCATGAGAGACAAAGATAGTTGAAGAATCATACTTATGGGATTGTCAGATTACATAAGAAGGAAAAGGTGATTGGAAGCATATGGATGCAAGTGGCTAGGTCAAGGTTCAAGTGTGGCTTTAGAACATCATATTTACTCTTTGGTCTTTATATATTAACTACAAACATCCACACAATCGATAGTTGGAGATATGGGAAAGCACACCATCACCGCTAACAGTCATGATTAAACCTTGATTCCCCATGACACTCAAGTATCCTAAAAGTTTAGCCTCTTACTCTAGACCTAGAGCCACATGGAGGATATATGTTATGAAACATTTCAGTTACAAGACAAGCACTTAATGCATTTGTTCCCAAGGTCATATGATCCCACACAAAAAATTCATCCACTCTTCATTCCCATGGTGTAGACCCACCAGAAAAATCCAAGGTGGAATAGAAGGAAGGTCTTGTCACCAATCTTAAAGCTTCTAACAGAATCCTAACTTCACACGTCATAATAAGGACTTGGAGGGAAACTGTTGTAGGTCGGCCAAAGGCCAAACAAAATAACCAAACTCCAAAGACCTAACCAAAAGTACCATCATTGAAAGGCAGCAAATAGGTAGAGCCTCTCCAGAAGACCTCATACGCGATTCGAGCTACTAGTTCAACAACCACCATTAGACTTGATCAGACTCCCCCTAACTCGGGTCGGATCAAACGAAAAAGGTTTTCACTATTTACCATAAACAATCTCACCCATGTGCCATAACATGAATTCACTCGTTCTTACTTTTGCAAGTTACATTTCTCTAATCACATTAACCTGAGCATTGAAGTGTTAATATTGCAAGATCATTACGCTCCACTGCATGTGAGACTCATATATATATATATATATATATATATATATATATATATATATATATATATATATATGTGTGTGTGTGTGTGTGTGTGTGTGTGTGTGTGTGTGTGTGTGTGTGTGTGTGTGTGTGTGTGTGTGTGTGTGTGTGTGTGTGTGTGTGTGTGTGTGTGTGTGTGTGTGTATATATATATATATATATACACACACACACATGATATTCAAGATATACTTTCTAATCTTTATTTTTTACTACACTCATCTATAATTCTGAGCCGACTTAGGCATTAGAATGCTAACCTTGCAGGTCCACCCTGCACCATTGTATCGGAGAACAACACTGTCGATTAAGGATTCCTCGCCATTGGTATACATAAATTCTGATTCTATAATGGAACAATGACGTTGTATGTGGGAATTGACTCCTAATTCTTGCGAAATTCCACAAGTAGATCATTCTTGATCCAAAGTCAGATCTCAACCGGAACAGAGAGAACGACAATAAACCAATGCGTCTTTGTAAGGAGATCATAGTGCATAATGAAAACATGATAAACTTTAAACAGACATGATCTGATTGGACCAACCAGGCTCTGATATCACTAATGTGACACCTTAAATCCCAAAATAATATATTTAATGTTTATAGATATTTAAAGTGTTCAAAATTAATAAAATTTACGAGTTTCAAAAAAATTTTGAGATAAAGGACATCACTTCGTCCAGTTACATATCAAAAATGATTCTAGAAAAAATCCATTAAATTAAAGTAATTCTACATCGATATACTGAATATTTATAATCTTTTAATGTAAAAAGTAGAAACATTTTTAAAACTATTTTCTCAGCCCAAAGTATATCAAAGAAGGTTTCTCACAAATTTGAACTTCAAGACTCATTAACCTGGATTTACTGCGATTTTGCAAACACAGGGCCAAGACAGAAAAACACAAACACGAAAGGGTGAGCTTCAAAAACATGTAACAACATAAAATAATTGATAAGATTACAAAAATTATAAAGTAACCATTGTATCATATCAAATAAAATTAACAAGAACCATCAACATCAAACATCTATGTAATTTACAATTTCAAGATATAAATATTCTTATCTCAAAGCAACCTTAATAAAAACAGTAAATATAAAATATCAATATAAATCATGACAATCATCAAGTTTAGTCACAATTCAAGTATGATATGCATGCTCTTAGACTTTAAAGTTCTTCTCTTTCTTTGACACCATTTACTCTACAGAGGATCGTGCTTCTCTCTATGATAATGCACTATGCCCATAAGGCTAATGCAAACATGTTTATCTTTATTGATATTGGACTTGCATAACACTTATCTCAAATGATACTATATTACATTCCATAGTTCAATTTTAGGTGTGCTTCTCTCAATTGATACTAGACTTTTGTAATACTTCTCTCAAGTGATAGTGTATTACATCATTTGATTCAATTTTGAGTGTACTTCTCTCAAGCGATATTGCACCATGTGTAATACTCATCTCAAGCAATATTGTATTACATCCTTTGGTTCAAATTTTGGCGTGCTTCTCTTAAGAAATACTGCATCATGTGGTCGATTCTCTCTAGTGATACTACACGACATCCAACATGATATTTCTCTCTATTTGATATTGCACCATACCAATTATATAAATTATTTACTTCTCTAACCTCAATTAGGATTGCCAAGCCCTACCTATATGGTGACAAGGTAACATTCACGTCAAAATCTCTAACGTCTAGTCTTTCCCCTCATTGGCCTAGGTTACTCCTTAAGAGTATTGTCTTCAACATGAGTCATAACAACCATTAATTCATCATCTATGGGAAAACATCAAATATTTTTACACCTCAATTTCACATATTTATCATCATTTATACATCATCATTATGTGTTTCATACATTCAAACATCACTTATTACATATGCATCACAATTAGGTATATCAATTTACTTTAATCCATGAAGAAAAAATAATTATTATTATTATAACACCCCAATTACAATCACAATATTTTCACAAGTAACTATATTTACTAATAATAATTATTAAAATCAAGAAGTCATAAAATCTAA